CTCTCTCTCTCTCTCTCTCTCTCTCTCTCTCTCTCTCTCTCTCTCTCTCTCTCTATGTGTATTGTATATTTATTTGATTTTAAACACATGTACTAATTCAGTAACAAAAGACAGAATTTAGATTTGCAGGTAGTTGCACAGTTTTATTAGTTTTAATTATTATAATGAACTTATTACAAAAACTTGTGATAATTGCAATTAACAATCTATGATTTTTAATGTGTATATAAATACATAAAAAGTTTTTATTTAAGGACAATGTTATACTGTATTAGTGTTAAATATTTTACTCACAATGATGTAATATCCTTAGAGTAGGATAAATGTTAAATTAAATAAATAATATTCTTTATATGATATTGCACAGTCTTGGCGAGCACGTTTGCATGGATATGAGGAGTGTGTGAAGACATTCCAATGCATTGACGATGAGAAGTCGCCGGAATGGAACAAGTACATGGGCTTCATCAAGAAGTTTGTGCTGGATAGTAATGCGGCTGCGCAAGAAAAGGGACTGGAAGCAACCCTGGCTTTCATCGAGAATGCCACAGTTGCTGGCAAGATAGTTATTGAGGTGATGAATGGTATCGTGTCCAAATGTATCGCCGCACCTAAAGCCAAGACGAAGGAACTAGCTGTACAGATTACATTGATGTATATTGAGATTGAGAAGCACGATGCAGTACAAGAAGAGCTGCTGAAGGGCACCGAGGCGAAGAATCCGAAGATCGTATCGGCGTGTATCGCTACCTTGACGCTGGCGCTCAAGGAGTTTGGACCCAAAGTAATTAATATGAAGCTATTGATAAAAAAGATAGCGAACTTCTTAGAAGACAGGGATAAGATGGTACGAGAGGAAGGTAAAACTATGGTGGTAGAAATGTATCGATGGATAGGCGATCGCTTGAAACAGCAGTTGAACACATTGAAACCGGTGCACATTACGGAGCTTGAGGCGGAGTTTAGTAATCTTGGCAATGAGAAGGTGATACCTACGCGCTATCTACGCTCCCAAAAGCCAAAGAAAATGGGCAATGGTAGCGATTCAGCAGCGGTAAGCGATAATGGCGAGGATGATAATGAAGACGCAGATGGTACTTCGATTCCAGACGTCGATCCATACGAGCTAATGATGCCTGTAGACATCCTATCAAAGCTACCGAAGGACTTCTACGAAAAAGTTGAAGCAAAGAAGTGGCAGGAGCGAAAGGAAGCGCTGGAGACGCTTGAAACGCTGGTTAAAAACACAAAATTAGAGAACGGCGACTACGGTGACGTAGTGAAGTCCTTGAAGAAAATTATCTCGAAGGACACTAATGTGCTGGTAGTCACGCTAGCGGGGAAGTGTCTGGCTGGTTTAGCTGCAGGTTTGAAGAAACGATTTCAATCTTATGCCACCGCCTGTTTGCCTGCCATTCTGGAAAAGTTTCGCGAGAAGAAGCAAACAGTGGTACAGGTATTACGGGAGGCTGCTGATGCCATTTACCAGAGTATGAGCATCGATCTCATTCTCGAGGACACTCTAGCTGCTTTGGAGAACAAAAACCCGGCCGTGAAAGCCGAGACGGCTGCGTACCTGGCCCGATGTTTCACGCATACACCACCTACGAATCTCAATAAGAAGCTACTCAAATCTTATACCGGCATGTTGCTGAAGACGCTTAACGAGCCGGATCTCATAGTACGCGATAATTCGGCTGAAGCGCTCGGCACGGCGATGAAACTGATTGGCGAGAAGTCAATGATGCCATTCCTAACAGATATTGATAATCTGAAAATGACGAAGATCAAAGAGTGTGCCGATAAGGCAGTAATAGTCGTTAAAGTGAAACAGGAGCGACCCAATACCGCTCCGGCCAAAATAGAATCGCAACGGACGAATAAGACAAACAAGGAGAATTCGAAGCACAGCAAATCGAGTTCTACGAAGAGACCGAATACTGGTATTGCGACTGGAAAGAAATCAGGAATAAAGAAACCCGGCAGTGCCTTGTCACTCACGAATCTGGCGCCAAAGAAAGCAGTACAGATAGAAAGGAATTACAGTCCAGAAGAGATCGAGGAGATGGCGGCGCAGCTTTTGCCAGCCGAAATAATCACCGGTCTCGTGGATAGCAATTGGAAAACGCGTCTATCGGCGGTTACGCAATTGTCAGATACCATCAAGACAATGAATTCGGCGGAGGTGCCGACCCAGGTGATCGTACGAACTTTGGCGAAGAAGCCTGGCTTTAAGGATACAAATTTCCAAGTAAGGATAGGATTGAGATTATATAATATTATTCGATATTAATAATAAATTTGATTTATATATTTTAATTTAGAGTTGAGACTTTTAACTTTCATTCTAATTATAAAAAACAAAAATATTTGTATAGTGTATGAAATCTAATTTGATTTCTGTTTTAAGGTATTAAAACTACGCATAGAGATTGTAAAGTACCTGGCGGAAAATCATCCGTTCACAGCCACCGTGGCCGAGTATTGCCTCATGGACATTACAGAAAAACTTGCAGACGCGAAGAATAGTTCGATCGCCGTCGAAACTTTGTTAACGATTGCTGAGGCTACGAGTTTCGAATATATAGCGGACGAGGTAGTGGCGTTTGCATTCAATCAAAAGAACCCTAAAGTACAGCAGGAGACACTGCTGTGGTTGTGCCGGGGAATCACGGAGTTTGGTTTGTATTATTTTCATTTACTTGCTATAATATTAATTGTAAACGAATAAAATATACACAGAATATCAATATTTTAAATTTGTCCAAATATCTTAGGTTGTGGTCTCAACATCAAGTCCATCATTGAGAACATCAAGAAGGCAGTAGCGGCTACGAATCCCAGTGTGCGTACAGCTGCTGTAACTTTGCTGGGAACTTTGTATCTTTACATGGGCAAATCGCTATTGACATACTTTGACAATGAAAAACTTGCACTACGGCAACAGATCGAGCAAGAATGCGAGAAGCGTAACGGTGAAACGCCACCGGCACCTATTCGCGGCGCCAAGGCCAGAAAGGCCAACACCATCAAAATTGATGATGAAGAGGAAGAAGTAGAGGAGTCGGAGAAGAAAGCAAACGGCAGCGAACCGGATCTTAATGAACTGATTCCTCGCGTTGACATCAACGCGCAAATTACCGAAGCGTTGCTAGCCGAATTGGCCGATAAGAACTGGAAAGTGCGTAACGAAGCGTTGCAGAAGGTGAACACCTTGCTTAGCGAAGCCAGGTTTATTAAACCGACTATCGGTGATTTACCGCAGGGATTGGCTCTTCGTCTCGTGGACAGCAACAGCAAGATTGCACAAGCAGCTTTAGGTCAGTAATTTATGTTAACTTAGCCATTATTTGTTATTAATTGAATTAATGTATATACATATTAATGAAATAATCGCAATTATTGATAATTATTATTGAAATTAATTATTCACAAATTGGTTTTGTAATTTATAATTAATATCATTGTGAACTGCTGCTTCTCTCTCTCTATATATATATGTGTGGTAGAAAATTGTTTAAATTAAACTAATTAGAATCTAGAAGAAATATCTTGCTATACTGCTAAATATGATTTAGTAGTAAATTATTACTCACTCGATAGTTCTTAAAATTTTATTTTTTAATTGCAATCAATAATCAATAGTTTTATTACACTTTTTCCAAATATATTTTAGGTATATGTGAAACGTTGGCGACGGCTATTGGACCACCAGTGAAGCTGCACATTCGTGCTTTGTTTCCCGGATTTTTGCAATGCCTAGGTGACAGCAAAAACTGGATTAGAGTAGCTGCGACCTCCTGCATCAATACATGGGGAGACCAGTGCGGCTATAAAGAATTCTTTGATGGCGAGATGATAGGCGATGCATTGAAGGCAGGTTCACCGATGTTACGATCTGAACTATGGAACTGGCTGGCACAGAAATTGCCCTCGATCCCGGTGAAACAGATTCCCAAGGAAGAGCTTTTCGTGTGCCTTCCTTATTTGTATGCTAATCTAGAGGATCGTAACTCGGACGTACGAAAGAACGCTCAGGAAGCTGTTCTCGGCTTTATGATTCACCTCTCTTATGAAGCGATGGTTAGAAACACCGAAAAACTGAAGGTATTTGTGTGAATTACAGAATATTTCTTATATATAGATTTTTTAATGACTCATATAATAAGTAAAATTTAATAATTTTACTTGTCTATCTCATTAATTAATTTGACATAATGAATAATATTGCTTATGATGATAAAATATATTGCAATTTGAAATTATGTAATTTTTGCAGCCTGGATCGAGAACAGTGGTGATTGCTGCATTGGACAAAGCTCGTCCTAGTTTACCCATAAAGCCTCTTCCTAAGAAAGAACCGTCAGATGACAATATCCAGAAAAATGGCGCAAAGGGTGCGAAAGTAGTGAAAGCTGTTAAATCGGTAATAAAATTAAATCTACATACATGGTCTGACGAATTAAATTTGTGTAAATTAATGTTGTCTCTCTCTGATAAAAATTTAATTCTATTAAAATATTTTTATAATGACTTTTTTTGTTTTTCGATGTATCGTTAATCGTACATTGTTCCAGAAGGGCGCTTCATCCAAACCGGGCAGTGCTCGCAAAAAAGATGACGACGTTGATACCAGTCCTCTGTTGGTGGTCAACAACCTGAAGCACCAACGTGTGATTGACGAACAGAAATTGAAGGTGCTCAAATGGAACTTTACTGCACCCAGAGAAGAGTTTGTTGAGCTTTTGAAAGATCTTATGACCACTGCAAACGTCAATAAGACTTTGAGAGCAAACATGTTTCATTCTGATTTTCGATATCATCTCAAGGCTATCGAAGCACTCACCGAGGTAAATATATGTATGAATCAAAACATGTATAGGAAAAAATCAATATCTAATATTTTTCCTCCTTGACCAATTTTGCTAACGTCAATTTAATTGTATTATATAAAAATAAATCACTTATATTAAATTACATAAATTTGTGGCATTTCAAAAATTAATAAAAATTTGAAAAATATTTTTTATCTTAATGTTTATAAAATATATATATGTTTAATATACAATACTGATTCTTATTTATATTATTTTTATCAGGATCTTCCTGGAAATAGTAAAGCATTGGTGTCTAACCTGGATCTCATTCTCAAATGGTTGACATTGCGATTTTTCGATACTAATCCGTCGGTGCTTCTGAAAGGATTGGATTACTTACAATTGGTCTTTAATATGTTAACTGAAGACCAGTATCACATGTTGGAAACTGAAGCAGCGTCATTTATTCCTTATCTCATTATTAAAGTATGTCATCAATTTCGTATTATTTCTCTTTCTTTTTTTTTACCTATAACATTATTATATATGCCATATTAATCAATAGATAGGCGACCCAAAAGATGCTGTGCGTAATGGCGTGCGAGCTTTATTCAAGCAAATAGCTCTTGTATATCCTGTGAGCAAATTATTCTCATATGTAATGGAGGGCTTAAAGTCAAAGAATGCCCGACAGCGAACAGGTAAACGATCTGATTCTCCGTATCCATATAAAATGTTATGAAAATATGTAAACGTGTTAAAAAAAAATGAAAAACGTGTTGATGCTTGCAGAATGTCTGGATCAATTAGGATCGCTAATTGAGAATTATGGAGTTTCTGTTTGTCAACCTACCCCATCTGCGGCATTGAAAGAAGTTGCGAAGCAGATAGCAGATCGTGACAATTCCGTTCGTAATGCCGCGCTGAACTGCATCGTTCAGGCCTACTTCCTTCAAGGGGAACGTATATTCAAACTCATTGGCCAAGTAAGCGAGTTAAATTAATTAATACCATTAATACAAGAAAAGGAAATATAAGCTAATTATGTTTTTTGCTGTATACAGATATCAGAGAAAGATAAGTCTCTGTTGGATGAAAGGATCAAGAGAGCTGCAAAGAATAGACCCATAAAATCTGCATCCGCTACTAGACTCTCCACGCCAGCGGTTGCAACCACCAGTCCGGTGACAGATGACATGGAGGCGGATTACGAAGAGGAGCAGGAAGAGATTGCCGAGCCAATGGAAGCAGTACCAGAGCTGTGAGTTATTTTTACATGTGATATTACGAAATTTTTATCGTGCTAATTGTTTAACAGAATAATAATCTTTTTTAACTATATTTTTATTTTTTCTATAATATTATTTTCTTATGGAATTTTTTTCTAATATTTTTTTATATATTATCTCCAAGTAATTCATGTTCGCACGTCCTTCGCTTTTAACATATCCGCAGGACATGTGTCACAAGCACTACACACAATAATGAGGATGAGCAAGCGCCTTCTGAGGTCATTAAGTCTTCTCCAAAATTGGACCAGGAAAATATCAACAATCATGAAACTGATAAACAAATTCATCTTTCCAATCGAGATGATTCGAAAACGTTTGTTACTTCTTTTGTTCATTTACACAACTGTCTTTGTGACGCGCTCTAATGACATGGTGCTGGGAAATATCGCGGAATCTCATCGTGCATCCTGCGTGCAATATCTCGTCTATTGTCGAATATTATCATTTATATATCTATTTGTTTCAGTTTCATTTTCTATGTTTTAATTTGCTTTCTCTTTTCTCTCCTTCAAGATGCTTGAATGTGTCATCTGTTTCGTTTCGGAAACAAAATGCAAAAGGGATCTAAGGATTTAATTAGCAATGAAATAATAAATAATATTCAATAGCACGATAATCTATTTACATTGTTTTTCCAATTTATCACAATGATATACATATATTATTAGATATAAAACGACTTCCTATATATACTATTTCCTACTTTATGTTACTTTACTTTTACTTTTACTTAACTCACGTAAATTGATAATATTTTTTACTTTTTAGATTGCTGTAATATTTGATATCCTTAATCAACATTGTATCCAAGTAGTAGTGTATTTGATCTGATTTGTGATGTGTGTTTATTCCTTCAAGTTTCAAAAATTCTTTCGACATATCTATATACAATGCGTTTATTTTCTAGAAATTCTCCTACATCGATGCAACCAAAGGTTCCTTCAGGTCCCTTTGGATTAGACATGGAATTTCTGCAGAGGATTGAACTAAGTGCCCCAGTGAAATATCGTAATCCGATATTAGCGGAACCCAGCTTGTCAGATTTGAACGAGCCTCCAGTTAATATGATGTTGAACCCACCCAAAACACAGTAAGTTAAGCCTAATAAAATAATGAATTATTAATATAATTAAACTATATACAAACTAAATGATTTATTTTATTTAAATTATTAATGTTTATTATTGTTTTTTTTTTATTTTTTTATTAGAGAGAGAGAGGTATTATAATAATTTTTGATTTTTCTACTTTTTTCAGAATGATACCAATTTCGCCACCGAAATTGTTAGTGTCAAAATTATCGTCCGTTGTATCTCCTACTACTGCTAGCAGTAAAGATGAGACACTCGAACGTAACATTTTGTCTATGTCCAGTATGGATTTGCCCACTGCAATACAGTCCATGAATGCAATAGAAAACGTTTGTATTTACTTATTTGACGTTCGAATATATTAAAAATGTACGAATATTTAAAGATTTTTTTTAAAATATGCTCTTTTGCTTTTAATTATCGTGATTTCATCCAAATTTTTGGCGTGGAGGTACAATTAAAATTACCACTTTTTAAGAATTTTTTCTTTGTGGAAGAAATTGATTAAAGAAACTTTTTAAAATGCAAAATTTTCTGTTTTGAATACCTGCGTAATATGTGCATATGTATTAGCATTTTCTTTTATTACAGTTATTAAAGTCTCATCAAGCGGTCAGCTTGCAATCTAGGGAGGATAAATTTATTGGATCGATAAACATGCAACTGAAATTATTGCAAACGTATCCATTACGACAAGAAAATGCAGACGTGTCGAGGGGCTTCAGAAACACATTTCTGGTTATACTCGTGGTGAGTGCAATTGCTTCACGATCATATTATTTCATAGATTATATATTTCAATAAGTGATTTAATATACATTAAAAATATATAAAGTTTAATTTTTGATAAAAAAAGCACATGTCTAACAAAATATTTTTTTAAAGGGATTTAATAAAAAATTTTAATTAGAGACTTTCATAAAAAATTTAATTTTAATTAGCTGTTTAAAAACTTTTGTTTTAGTTTTATGACACTGGATTTCTTGGAAAAAATGTTCCTTTTATACATTTAAAAGAATTAGTAGATCAGATGATAAGTTTGTTGGCCGAAAACAAGTTGGAACATTTGCATCAGGCTGGAGCATATTACAGGGTGATCAATAACATCATGGTGAAAATTATTGACAATTCTAATCACACCACCATCATATGGTATGATTTATGAGACAATAACATATTTATTTTAATTTTTTTGTACTTTATTTATTATGTTTGTTTATAGTGTATTAATCAAACTGCTTCATTCGTGTGCTGAATCAAATGTTCCTTCAAAATATGAGGAATTAGTGATGAAATGTTTATGGAAAATCGTGAAAACAATGTCGAATTGGGCCGCTGATTTAGATTACGATACAATACTCTTGGAAGTGCACCGTTTTCTTAAGGTAGAGTAATTTTTTAATAATATTCTATATATAATGACTAATTATTGAAAATAAATGAGAATATATACAAGAAAGATTGCTATTGTTATATTTTGCAACTGTTGAGCTATTAATGCTAATAAAGCTGAGCTAATAAAGATGAGCTATTAATAAGTTAAATGTTGCTATTATTTTTTTACTGTGTCTTAAATATTTCAGTGCGATAACATTTTGTACATTATACATATATGTATATGTAATTTTTTTGTATGTAGGATTATCCTACTACGTGGTGGAAGAAACGAAAGTCCGATACTCCGCTACGAACAGTCAAGACGGTTCTTCACAGTATGACCAGGGTGAAAGGCAGTTCGATACTTAATCATTTGACGCTAATAAATAATACAAATGAATCTGAGTTGCACACTTACTTAATAAGATTAATTGCGGTTAGTTGCGTTGTATATATATATAAAAGTATATTGATTTTCAAGTATTTAATATAGTTAGTATTATTTATTTGATACTAACTATTGCGTTGATATGAGATATTAGCACTATATATGTATTAAATTATACACATCAGGAAGTAATTAACGATATTTATCGTAATAGAGTCTTAAGCCAGATGAGATTAATGCAGCAAAAGTAACACCAAAATCGAATAATGTGGGAAGGACGCCAAAACACTTGTCCAAGTCTACTCGTCAGCAACTGGCAGAAATATTCAAGAAAATCGGATCAAAAGAACAAATGCAAGAGGTATATATTTATGTGCAACTAAAAAAGTCTTGTTTTTTTTAATAAAACAAAAAATATTCCAGTTGTGGAAAAATTATTAAATATTTGCGAAAATTATTAATTTTTTTTTTTTACTTATTTTGTCGTATTTTAAAATGCCTCGTATTGTTCTCATACATTCTTGAGGTTCTTAATGACGTTTTTGCAATTTAAAATATACTTTTTTAGTCATTTGATCATATTTTTGTAGGGCCTAGTGCAGTTATATGATTTCAAACTTCAATATCCGGAAGCTGACGTGCAACCATTTCTGGTCAAATCTCACCAATTCTTCCAAGACTTCATAGAACAGGGATTAAGGGAGATCGATCAGGCGCGAAAAAATCAAACTATTTTATCGCAAGCTAACAATCAGTACTCTATGGGTAAGTAGCGTTAGTTGAATCTTTCAATTTCGTGAGCATAAAAAGGATGTTAACAAAACGACTTGCTCTTTCATCTTGTCGGTTTAATATGGATATATGAAATAAAATAAAAATAGATAATATCCACGATTTTCGTTCAAATATTGGAATCCGTTTTACACGCAATGTAATCACGCACAAAATAACATTGTCTTTAATTATTTAATCATATGTAAAATAAATGATATAGAAACTACAGAGTCTTCAGCCGCGGTTGCTGACGAGAAGGACCTCATGGATCCATTGTACAGGCTCGAGAAACTCCGAGCCCTTGAAGCACAAAGTAGAATGACCTCCCAGCCGAATCCACCATGAATGATCCAACATAAGTTTATTAATTAGGTAAGCGGGACGCACGATACATATATACATGTATGTGTAAGATGATGCATATTTGTCCGACTTATTTATTCGCGTCTTTCGAAATGTTTAATCCTATGGTATTCTCCACCGCTGATTTTCCATTGAGATGAATCATTAATCGCTTTATGTACGAATTTCCGATTTCTTCGAGACATAATCCGATTATTTGCTCTCAGTGAATTAATTTAAATGATTTGCATAGTTAGCAGAGGACTTTAGCGACCGCGAATCGTAGAAAATAGTATAGCTGCACCATCAGACACGTGCTACATCGAACATCGTAACGATCCTGCGTTCTAATTGTAGCAATGTTACATTTCCTATAATGTAACGACGATGCGCGCATACTAATAATGTTTTGTTTCTTCCACAACAGTTATGTATAGTTAATATTAATGTTACTAATTATGTAAGGTCGATCATATAATAGTACATGTATAAGTATACGAAACTTGCACGATTCGAGCGTCACTCATGTCGTAGCATGATTTAATTTTACATTGTTTAACTTAGTATTTTTTTACGTTGTTTTCTAAATAAATTTGTTCTATTTAAACTCTATTAGATTCATAATCACCATATCGTTGTTGTTTTCGCAAAACCTCCACCGCGATAAAAATAAATTTGTTGATATGACAAACAAAATGTTATGATAAAATAAATAAATCCATCTCGTCCGTGGCATGCGTGCTGGGCGATTTCTATGCCATTCTTAAAGAAAATTATTGGCACAGAGTTCAGTGTATAGTTTTAACCGACGAGATACAATTAATCTAGCAAAGAGATAATAAAATAATTTTAGAATATGTCATTCTTTAGAACATTATCTGGACTTCTGTATCATCCAATCTCCGAGAGTTACATTTGAAAAAAAAAGAAACAAACTGATATATGGACAATATATGGACTTGATATAATTTATGTGCGCGATGTTCAATGTGATGTATTATTAATTTTAGACAGAAAACAATATGATTTTTTGGTTTTTGCCGTATAAAAAATATATAATTAATAATAAAATATAAAAAAAGAGATGATTCTTTATAAGTCTCGTTCCTTTTTAATTTTAATATTTTTCAAGAGATTATATACATATCATATAAAAAATTTGGTGCCTGTTGAGGCTTAAATATTAGACAGATATTTATTTATTATATAGATATTTTTTTCATACCAACCTTTTTATATAAAAGATAAAGACAGGAGGTTTCGCGGAGATAACAGCGATTTATCCTATCTATTAAGACGCAAAATGTCATACTCGAGTTAGTATTTATAGATAAAAAAAAATAATAGTTATCAGCATCGACACCTCGATGTTTATTATTCGATATAATAAAAAAAAAACGACGTTGAGCCATAAAAAGCTCATAACTCAAAAAGAATTTCATGTCTTTCAAAATAAAGAGGATATTGTCTATTTGAAATACTTTGAATACCAATTCTAGTGTTGATAATTTTACTTCGAAAAATTGTCCTGTGCGATTTGACTGGTATCAATTATGAAAATAAAATTAGTTTCAAACACAGTGTTTATAGAGAGAATACTTATAGAAAATTTACACGAATTAATCGCGCGATTATTAAATTTAACTTTTTACCATAAATTAAATTATTAATTGCTGCATTATAAATAAAACGCATTTACAACATATTTGCAAATTATGATTGACATTGCAATTTTTCTGTCTACGAAACATTGCTGTAGGTACTCGTGATTAACAAAATTTTTAAGTTACGAGATTTTTGTGGCTTGACGACGTGGAAAGCATATTTACCTTTCTAATATTATCGGTGCAGAGAAAAAAAAATAACAAAGGGAACGTAGTTAATAATATATAAAAAGGAAAAAATAGAATCTACTTTACTATCTGAAAACCTTACGACTCGAAGTTGCTGTATTTGAGAACTTACCGCTTTTCCTGAAGACTTATTCTGTAGTGTAAATAGAACTCATGTATATACATGCACTAATAAAATTATATTCGACAAAGCTGTTATGTCCGACAAAATATAAACACACAGTATGAATTTTCCCTTTACAACACGTCTACAATATTCGGCAGTATCGAGTTAGATTTCAAAGATTTCAGTTTTATGATTTTTATATAATAAATTTCTGATTTCAAATTCAACATATTATATCAAAGTACGATATTCTATATATGTAAAAGTGTGTTCTAATTTCTCTGAAATGTTTCTAATTTTTCGAGAGTAAATTTGTGAAAACGTAAAACACTGGAAATTCGTATAACACCATTTTCATTCGTAACGATTCTGTATTTGTACTGTATTTTACAATACTTATTTATATTTCCACATAAGAAATTTCTTTTATAATATAAAATAGATTTTTCAAAATAACTTTACTGCATTATAATTGTTATATTTATCATCGTTTGGTATAGAAATATTCTATTTACAGTTGTATTTGTAGAAATTTTGTTCTATTGAAAAACGAATGAATAGTCCTTTTTGTCATATTTTTTGTTTCGTCAAATCTTATTTATACGGCATTATGCCGTACAAACAAATAATACAATCTTGTCCTACTGTTATATATTACATTCTCTGTAGTGTATCTTACAAGTTGCATATACAAATATAATACAGGCGATAAGCTTATTTATATGAAGTACAATTGGGTAATGTATATAATAATGAATAATGTATTAATGTAAAATCTGCATAGAAGCAGAATTAGGTACACAAATTCGGCAAAATGTAGCATTACAAAAATCTCTATATTATGAATGCCACATCAATATTACTATTAGCAAATTCGATTGAATGCACTTAGTGCACACTGGTGCACATAAAAGTCGTTGTACACAAATGTTGACGTAAAAATACGTGTATAACATAAAAAACGGATTAAATCAAAATCCTTAATGCATTTTATTGTATAGTTAAGTAAAAATCTGTATGTTATAATTCGAAATATTTGCATATTACTTTCACACAGATTAAATCAGTATACAACTTTTGCTTTTATATGAACTAATGCGCACTAGTGCGTCCAACGGAATTCGCTATATTATTATATCATTTAAATTAAAAAATAATTCAAAAGATTACGAAGTATATCATTAGTACAAAAAAATATTTTCTTTTTTGGCAAAATATTAATTTAATAAAAAAATAATTTTTTAACTTAGGTTCCTCCAATGTAAGATTAACTTTAATTTCGGTTTAACTTACTGTTTATCTTTTCTAATTATTCTACGAATTAGAAAAAAGATATAAATAGAAAGTTAAACTAAAATTAATCTTACATTGGTGGAACGGAATCTTAGAGAGGAACTTTGCAATGAGGCATTTCTTTCTTATGATCGACAATGAAAAATTAGATGTAAGAATTAAACATATGTGTGATTTGATTATTTAACTGTAAATTTTGTTCTTCATCGATACTTCCAAGCACTTGCATATATTCGTGCTGCGAATATCGATTACTAAAGCCAAGATAAAAGATCGAGCTCTTAATTACGTATTGTTATTTTTAAAGTTTAGAGTTTTTTGACACGACCGATCTCTATATTGAAGAGCAAGCCTAAAGTTACGTAAAAACTTATTTTGTTACGACCCCCGAGTGTTGCGCTTGACGCACGCTGGCACAACACGCTCCAGCATACTTTATGTCACGGAGATACGAACACGAAAAGCTTATTTCGTATCATTTCATGGAAAGTGCGTCGGAGCATGTTGTGCTAGTGTGTGCGTCGAATGCAACAAAATATAATATATATTAAGAAGACAAGTTTCTTTCTCGCTGGCTAATACTGGTCAGCGACTGATTAACTTTATGGTTCTGAAAAAACTCAATAGAACAGATCACTATGTACAAACTTACAATACTCTCACAATATACAACGTTCATAAAGAAATACTGGTAAAAATTTTTTATATTAAGGAAGAGTTGTCCTCAAACGTTTTCTACAGGGTTGACGAAGAGCGCTGTTACGGCAAATAATATAAACACTAAGCCTCCAATAATGGTCACTAAAAATATTGAGAATATTAGACGTTGCTGATAATATTGTGATTAATTTACATGCATTGTATTGTGCACGCAGAAATATTTTGAATTACCTGTTCTCACTGATATTCTTTGAGCTATCATACGTCCTCCTATAACTGCCAAGCCTGTACAAAACGAATGACCAAGTACTCCACCTAGAACGACTCCATAAACATCCTGAAAATAGCATGATCATAAACGCTGATACATGTAAAGATGCTCTGTTGCAGTAAAATCATTATAATAAAGTACCTCTCTTGCTGCAAGGATAATAGTCGTTAACTGAGAACGATCGCCCCATTCCGCGAGAAAGGTAAGGGTGAATGCTTGTAAAAATATCCTAGAGAGCAGCATGAGTGCACTGCTTTTATTGGTTTTGCGTATTACTCCAGTTTCTGGATCCTGAACTAAAGTACTTGCCGTCTCCTTTTCGTACTGAAAGCAATGACATTTAAAAAATTATTTAATCTCCTGCAAAAACAACACTATTTAGATAAGTAATTTTTTTATTATACTCCAAAAATAAATTCTTTCAGTAGAGTATCTCTATAATTCTTTTTATAATTGAACAAAGATATTTCTAAAGAGGGATGAAAAAATGAAATAGTTTCTCCATTCTTCAACATAGATAACTCTTGTGAGCCATGTAAGATATTGTGGTATCTGATTAAAAAAAAATTTGTAAGTTTACCTCGTCATCCCTTTTTCTCAAGTCAGATTGAACTTCTTCTAGCTCTTCTTGTGCTTCTGTCGGCGACATATAATATCCATCTCGTAACATTTTTAATCCGAACAAAGCAAAGAGAAGAGTGGAGATATAGTAGGTATAAGCACGAGGAATTATTGTAGCTGCGTATCCGAACACCACTAGAAGTAGAATAAAGATATTTCATGTTAATGAATGTTATGATTACGTTTGCAATAGATATATGAGTAAATTAAAATTATTATAAACTATTATAAGCATTACTACAGCTGAAATGTTGGTTTTATATTAACGATATTTAAAAGACATCCAGGGGATCAAGATACATGTATTTTATATGTACAACCAGTAATATCTGTGAAATTATTAGATACTATTTTACAATATATATATATACCTGACAGAATGGTCATCAATGCAAGAGCACTTATCGCACCAATGAATACAGTCAATCGTGGATGCTTCATTGCCATAATAGCGGCGATGAAAAATGTTTTGTCTCCTAATTCAGATACTACGATGACTGACAAAGATGCTAGGAAGGCGTGCAGGAAGCCCATTCCAGTCTGTGGCTTCTCGGACACAGACTCCGGCAAATTCTAAAAATATTTTATATATTAAAAGAAGTTTACAGAGATATAAAACATCTTTTTAATAATGCTTGTAAAGTTTGTAACTTTGTAACATGAAATTCAATCTTGGAAAGTGCTTTAGGACTTTTAAGGGATTTAAAGATTTAAACTTTGGGAGCTTTAAAAATTTTCAACCTTCCAATTTCTTCAAAATATGAAAATTCATTCGGAAATTTTAGACTGGATATCTTTTGGAATTAAAAATTTAGAGAATTTACTTTAAATCTTTTCCGATTTGATGAAATTCTCGTAAATAAGGTTTTTATATACAAATCATAAACGATCGTGAGAATTTAAAGTATTTGAAGGACCGCCGAGAGAAGTCTTATCTTAGGGTACTTACTGTCGATGTCGCGAACAATTCAATTTTCTCATCATAACGCGGTTCAATCTCACAAAAGACAGCTGAGAGGCAAAACGTTAAAGTTAGAGAGCAGGCATAAATTAAATGTTCAGTTCCCATGGTACAATACTTCTGTAACTTCGATATAACTTCAAAGGACTGCGCGTGACAATCGTTACGCTTGAGATAACCTCTAAAAAAAATCGTCCTCGTCCCAAATCAAATCGCGATCGCCATGTTGCTTTTCTTCGCAATCCGTG